CTAAGTTCCATTTTGAGGGTAGCATGCACGTAGTGCATTTTCGCGAACAGATATGACGAAACTCGAGCAAAAGTAGCTTTTTTCTTTTGTTCGAGAAGTTAGATCACGAGCTCACTTTAAATAGTCAGTCAGTTACCCCACGTCTTACGTACATACATACAATTACAAGTTTTTTTTTCTTCTTTTATTTTCGTTGTTTTCTTATTCTTTCTCTCACTCTCTCTCTCTCTCTCTCTCTCTCTCTTCTCTTTTTCTCTCTCTCTCTCTCTTTCATTGACAAATTACATACATACCTTTATTTATATTCCTTCCTCTCAATATTTTCTTCACACACATTTTTCAAACATTCGATAACACTCTTTTCATCGGTTGGACCTTTAACACTTTTTCTCCCGATATATATATATATATATATATATATATATATATATCATATAAACTAATTTCGACGAATTTGTTTCTGAAAGAAATATTCGCGTTTATTTTGTAATATATTATTTTTAAATTTCCCTTTTTCTTTTTATTTTCTTCTTCTTTTTATATATATAAGGATACAACTATATATATATATATAAATAAATTTTAGTGTTATATAATACATGGAAAAATACTGGAAGAAAAAATAAAGACAACAAACAACGAGAGAAAGTCTTTACGTAACATATCATCTCCTTACACGTATCTTAGCTCGTTCTTACAATATAAATCCGATGATTGTCGTCGGAAAGGAATCGACAGGTTTATTGGAAGTGCAAGAGAATACGTTGTTGTACGTATAGTCCTGTGGTGAAATCGATCCTTTCGATTCCTTCCCGTATCGAATCACGAAAAATGATGCTCGCGCTTCGTAACAAAGACACACGCCGTTATTGCGATTGAAAATGATTTATTTGCTTGTGCCTCCTATTAACTTAAGGCGCTTGAGAAGATCTGTATGTGTTATTTGTTTGTTTGTTTGTCTGCCTGTCTGTCTGTTTGTACGTACGTACGTATGTATGTATGTATGTATATATGTAAATAAGTGTAATATACGTGTATAGTGTGTATTATTTATGTGTTACATTTAACGCGGTCCCCTATAAATTAATATTTACAATCCGTCGAAGCACTTAGAAGCACTCTTATCATTATTTTCCATTTTAATCATTTCCTAATAATTTTTTCTTTCATTCGATATAACTTACGAGGCGACGATATCAACGATTACACGCTATAGATATACATTGCTAAGATTTTGATCGTTGTAAAACATTATATGTATATTTATATATGTATATACGCGTCTCTGTACCTTTCCCTCCGAAATTAAATAAAATACGATTAAACAAAACAAAAAATTCAAATAAAATGAGATAGTAAGAAAAAAAAAAAAAAGAAAAAAAAATAATAATTTAACAATAAAATAACGCGTCCGTAAGGAACGCGTACAGTTTTCTATTCTTTTTTAATTTGTTTTTACAAATTTATTAATTTATTCAAAATTGTACTAACTCGCGCGATCGTGGTTTACCACCACTATAATAACGCTTTTCTACGAATTCTTTTTTTTTTCTTTTTTTACGATTAGAAAAATTCATGCTACGGTTACTTAGCAATGAAAAACAATTTAATTTACGCATCGCTAAAAATCCTTTCGTGTTCCCATTTTTGTTTTTTTTTTTTGTTTTTGTTTGTTTCTTTTTATTCTATTTTATTTTCTTCTTTTTCTTTCTTTCCTTCTTTTCTCCACACCTTTGGACCACAAAAAATCGGGAGAAAGAAAAAAAGAAAAAAAAAAAAAAAAAAAACAACTTCTCTCTCCGACGAGACGTGTTAAAGCGCGCACATACACACATACGAGCGCTAAACGGAGAAGTAGAGAAAGAGATAGAGGGAAAAGGGTGTTAGAAAGAGTGAGTGAGAGAGAGAGTGCTATACGCGAAAGTATCCCCCTGCAAACCCTTGTTATTTTATTTTTTTTTTTTTTATTTTCTTTTTCTTTTATTTCTTCTTCTTCCTTTGCTTTTTTTCTATATCACAATAAAAGTCGCGTTAACGGTTCCCTTATTTTCCTGTACTCGTATCCTCTCTTCTTGTTTATCCTAAACTCCACTCTTTCTTATTATTTTTCCATTTTTTTTTTTTTTTTATCCCTTTATAATCTTCTTCGTTAATTTCTTAACAAACACGCAATTTATTTATTGTTGTCTCTCTCTTTCATCCTGTATTGTCTATTCCTTACGTCGGTATATTTTTTGTCATTTTTCTTATCTTTTTTTTTTCTTTTTCTTTTTCTTTTTCTTTTAAATCTCGTTGCTTGAAGGCGTTTTGGTACCGATAGAGAAATAATCTTGGATTTATATATATATATATATACATATACATATATTTATGTAAGTATATGTGTACTATGTATGTTTAAGGTTCGTTTTGAATAATATGTAATTGTTCATTTAATTTATATATATATATATATATATATATGTATTTTTGCTTGTATGCGAGTGTGTGTTGTTCGTGTGTGTATGTATGTATATATATATATGTATATATATAATTATATTTATATTTATAATTTCATTTCTCATAGGCATACATTATGTATATAAATAAAGTGGGTTTCTCAGGGAATTTGCAAGATTGGGGAGAAATATTGCTACGTACATTTATGGGATATCGCAAAATAATATACAGCATCAATGTCTATATCATTTATATGTATATATATATATACATATACAGGATGTCACATAAAATCGTCCACATTGTTATACTTCGACAAACACAAACTTCATCATCGTAATAACGTTATCAAATATTCAATTTTTACTAGGACATCCTATATATATTACAACACGAAAAAGGAAGCGCGCGCGCGCAAGCGTCACAAGTCAGCTGCTTGCTCATGGTTGCGGGGTTCAACAAGGATCGGATAGAGTTCATTATATAATTAAATAATAATATAACATATTATCATGAATTTATCGAAACACGTCAGTCTTCACTAAAGATTCGAGACCGAAGCTCACTATTATATAGATCCTTATAAACGCTTTTTTCTATGGATCAAACTCGATCGAAGCCAGCCCACAACGGGCTCGTAAAAGCAAGCGTTTGTAATTATCGAACGATTAATTATCCTTCGGCCCTTCCCCCTCCCCCCACCGTATCTCTCCCTCAATTCACCCTCAACCGATCGTGTCGATGTTCTCTTTCGAATATATAAATATTCGATTAATCAAGCTCGACATTCACTTTTTTTTTTCTTTTTCTTCTTCTGTTCTTCTTACTCTTTCATCTATGTGTACTTGTAGGACACGTATTATGTATACATATACATATATATCTATATATATATATAATATATATGTATATATATATATATATAAATATATGCGTGTGTATATCCTTTGGTTGGACTCGAATCGATAGTGAGCTCGATCTTGTTGCACATGCGTGCCGAACAGAGCGAATCATTAGCGTTACTCGTTCTGGAAATCCGTCTGTTATGTTATCTCGATTAAATTTCGTGACGACGAGGGACGACGACACGCGTTCATGTTCTTTATCTCGCGCTTTTATTATATATATATATATATATATATATATATATAATATATTGTTTATTTTCCTTTTCTTCGTTACCAAGTAAATAGATTATACATACATAAAGAAGATAATATATACAAATAGCTTTCGTCTTTTCTCGCAAATCTTTTTATCGCGCTACTATAAGCGATAAAAATTTAATATATATTTATATATATATATATTTTTTTTTGAGCGATCATTAGAATAATATTATTAATAAGAAAAAAAGAGAAAGAGAGTTAAAGGATCAAAAGAAATGATTATTCGATAATAGAATAAAGTATTCTATAAAATCCAGAATATGTGTAGCAATGAGTACGAAAGAGAGAGAGAAAGAGAGAGAGAAAAAGAAAGAATGGGGAGGAGTGGAGAGGGGAGGGGAGAAGAGGTCCTTTGAATAGCGAGAAACGACGTAAGCTTATAAAAAATCAAAGCAAACCGATACCTACAAGTACCTAGGTTGCTTTTCTACAAAAGATATGTCTTCTGAATGATTTACATACACATACGTTCGATCTCGATTGGCTGTATTCTTTGTTCGATCATCGTAGATTTTATTATTTCTACGATCACATCCAGGTCTCTTTCTCTTTTTATCTTTTTTCTTTTTTTTTCTGTTTTCTTTTTTTTCTTTTTCCTATACAAACGATCGGATTATTTTACAAATCCTTTTATCATTATTATTATTATTATTATTATTATTATTATTATTTTTATTATTATTACTATTATAATTATTATTATTATTACAATTATTATTATTATTATTACAAAGAAATATTCGTCGCGACATTGAATTTCCAGAAGAGTTAAAATCCGTGCGATTATTCGCGATTATTGTTATTAAAATTTGATATGCTAATTTCGTGTAATACAACCGTGAGAATATAACGCGCGTATTATCTAACTACATTGTATATTATTTATAGTATGTATATATCTATGTATATATATATATATATACATACTATATATTCCCCCGAATGTTTAACGCTTAACTACGATTATTACATTGTTAATAGTGCGTCAATGGCAGTGCACGTCGAAGGAGAACAAACTAAATCCGATAAATTTTGTAAGAACTATTTTTATTAATCGAACGCATACGATTTTTTTTTGTAAATATTGTTTATTATGGTCATCTCTTACTGCGAATACGCATTTAAGAGAGTTCAACGTATATTGCTTGATCTTCATTGCTTATTTTCTTCCTTCTTTCTATTAACCCGTTAGACTTGTTCCATTTCAACTATATTTGTTTATCGGAATTCATTTTCCGATAATATTTAAATAATAAATAAACTAATAATATAAGATGATGAAAAATAATTACAATTTAGATATCGATAACGGTAAATAATTATTGATTGGTCACCGATTTTAAATATAATATTAAATATATACAAATATTTGTCATATTTTTTATTTTTTTTTTTTTTTTTTTTATTTAATACATGTAAATATCATTTGAGTAAGTTGAAATAGAGCAAAGACCAAAGTGTTGTAGTAATTAATCAAATTGTGCAATTAACGTACCTCGGTAACCTTCGACACGTTTTGCGTATGTCCCCGAAGAATGCGCGCGCGTGTACACTTCGTGTTAATGTAATGTTTATGTTATGTATGCAGGTATGCGTGTTGGAGATGAACATGTGCCACAAACGTTTTTTTACGCGTATCTATGGAGAGAATGTTCCCTACGTTTGCTTCCTCTGCGTTCGCGTTCGCATACTGGTTCTGGACTCGGTGGATTAGAGTACGTAAGATTGTTCGAGCCGCGAGGTGGTGGAGCACTCATCGGTGGCGGGGGAGGTGGGAAAAAGCTCTGTAAACAAGCCTAAGAGAACAACATGATGACTCATTAAAATTCCGTTTTTTTTTTTTTTAAACTTATATTTCATCTATAATTAAAAGTTCCAATTCTTTTTTCGATAAAATATAAATAAGTATGAAAATAATAATCATTCGGAAAAATAATATAATTGTAAAACACCGTTTCTCGTTTAAAAAAATTAAGAATTTATTAATGATAAATATGAATCCATCGGATTACAGGCTGAAGTTGAAAATTAGAATGAATTTAATAAATACGTGTTATAAGGAAATTTGATTGACCAATATTATTGTTAACTGTCTAGTAACTATAAAACAATGTTATCTAACAATGTCGACTATTGTAGATCTAAAATTCGAAAAGACCGGGTGCTTACCTTCGCACTGCCTCTAGATGACGACTTGGAAAATACGCTATCTTGATCGCTGCTCACGCTAGGCACAGGCATTGGTACCGCGTAATCGTAGGTGGCATCTGCACGATATAGACCACACGAATCTACTTTAGTGACTCGAAAAAGAGTATCACGAACATGGCAAATTAATCGTTCGTTGGCTACGACTACTATTAAAATGAACACAATAAAGTTAAAAATTACTTTAAGATTAAAATCGAAGTGGGTAATGGAAAAAAAATAAAATGTTAAGTCATTCGCCATGTTAATAAATAAAATATAAGATTCCGTTTTTATAACGCGTGTAACCTTTTTTTTTTTTCTTAAAAAAAAAAAAAAAATAGTAGAACTTTTTGACTCACCAGATTGTTCAACGCTATCGTGAAGATCTTTGTTGTCTATAACGACAGTGCTGTATCCGTAGTAAGCAGCATGAGGAGGTTCACGATATTTGTTCTCGTGAAATGGTTCCTGGTACTCGTCCAACCTAACATCCCCCAATAACCGATCATTGAGATCACGTGGAAGGGTTGTTAATTTGGTTCCCGCGTAACGATCATCTAATTCTTCAACTCTGTACGTCATTAAAGAAGGATCCTTTTCTGTGGTTCCATATGCCGATTCCGGTGATAAATGTTGATGATTACTCGAAGGAATAGCACTTTTGGCACCCAATGGACTGGCAAAGTTTTTTCTCTGCCTATGACGCGAGACTATGAGAAAAATGGCTACCGCTAATAGTAAAATGACAGCTGCTAAAACACCTATAACTACGGCCATGTACGTAGGTTCGTCTTGTTTGGTAATGGGAACTTCGGCTTGCAAGGGATTGTCTCGTGCAGAATTTCTATCACGACTGCGCGGTGCTTCTGTTGTTGGTGGAATTTCCGGAGTAAAATTACCATGTGCAATATCTGTAACATTTGCCAGTTGGATAACAAAATTTAATTAAACAAATTTGTTTTTAAATGTTTTCAAATTCATTTATAAACAAAAATAATACATGAATTTACCAGAATCAAAAGTAATTTCGCTGATCATAATCCATTTGGCAGCGAAACTAAACTTCAACTTGACGAATTTGCCAATTCGATGATGAAGTTTGATCGTAATGTTTCTAGATTGTTCGAAGATTTTATCTTCCATATATGAATAGACGATTGGATCGCCAGTGTAATACTTGCCACCCACGCTGAACATGATGCTAACTTCAGAGAACACCTAAGGGAGAAAAAACAAAACGTCGGTTGAGTCCTTTTTATTGGTATGTAATCCGCCTACGTCGGGGTCGGAAGGACGTTAACAGTCTTGTCTCGTTAACGCAGTCAATCTCAACTCTCGTTAAATCGGCAAATATCGCTTATTAACGCTATTACGAGCGCTTAAAGCGCACTCGATTATGGATATAATCAAAGGCTATTATCGTTATCACCATCGAGCAAGGGAGGGAGCGAGCAAGCGAATGAGTGAATGAGCGAGTGAGTGGGTAAGAGAAGGAGAAGGAGAGAACGGATAACGACCTTAACGCTGATGCATCAGGATCGAAGATGCGAATACGCGCGGAATGCTAATTTGGATCTCTTGCTAGTTGAAGGAGATCGTGAAGAGGAGGAACCTACAGATAAACGAAGAGAGATAGCAAGAGAACTAGGGCTGGTACGTGGTACACGAAAGCGAAGATTACAAAACCCAGATTATCAAACTCTGTCTAAGATGAGCTTTTCGTCTCTACCTAAGAGAAATGGAAACACCATCTTGGGTAAGAAAGAAAGACGAAGATAGAAGATTACTGACGGTGCTTTGAAGTGCAGTGTCTTTCAGGAGACGTGTCCTATCCGTGCAAGTGGGCACTCGCTTGTTAATAGAAGGAGTTGTTCAGAAGTGGAATGGGCTGAGAAGGTTGCCAACTACTCTTCTATCTCTCTCTCTCTCTCTCTTTCTCACACACATATACACTTTCTCTTACTCAGTTCATCTCTGTCTCTCTCTTTCCTCTAGGCTTTCCTATACATCTAAGTACTGCCGATTTGCCAGACTGCCGGTATTGTATTCGAATACGTGGCGTATCTGTACTCTCCGGGTCGTTGCTTGCTTGCTACCATTGTGTGTACGAAAAGGAAAGAGAGACAGACGGAGAGAAAGATAGAGAAGCTCTCGCGACTCTACCTTGCTCCCTTCGAACCTACTCTTCCACCCTTCTTAAATCCGCGTTACCGACGAGCGTTCCTACTGCCAACCCAACCTACTTGCTATCCTTCTCTTCTTCCTTTATTCCACTCACCATGTTCTTCGTTCCCTCTCACTCGCTTGGTCGCGGCTATACAATCGGCTCCCGAGCCGGGTAATGAGGCGCTCTATTCAAATAAATCTTGATACCGGTAGAAGAGTGTTTCGCGGCCCATTATATAGAGAGATCCCAGTGCGAGCTGGAAAATTTTCGCAGAAGGGCCAACCACCGTCGAGGAGAATCCCTACGCGTTAATGCCGACAAGCGAAAGAAGCTTTCTCCTAACTATGGTTCCAATCTCTCTCTCTCTCTTTTTCTCCCTCTCTCTCATACTATCTCATTCCACCTAGCAAAGCCAGAGGCTAACCGTTGTTGCGCCTCGTTAACCATCCTACAACCTCGACCTTGACTCCAACATGAAAACTGGATTCTATACCGTATATACCACCCCCGTCTTTTCCGGGCACGGATTAAAGCTTTGCTCTGGATATCTTCTTCTATCGTATAGGTTTTCTACCCGACTCTATATTTATGGTTCTGTCTTTTTTTCTTTCTCTCTCTCGCTTTCTTTCTACCTTTTTTTTTTCCTTTCCTCGAACTATCATTCCAGCATAAGCTTCTCCTCCTATTCATATTTTCTCCTTTTTTCTTCTTCCTTTATTCTTTCCTCCCCCTATAGCCCGTTTTTCTTTTGGTCGCCATTTTGGTGCAAACGGAAAGTCGCCCGAGGGTCTTCCAATTTCCTCTTCGTCACTCGCATATTATATACTTCTCTACGTCTGCAGACATTTCTATGTTATACGGAAAGCTTCATCGTTCGAATTTTTCGATATTCCCAAGACTTCCGAGGATTGTTCGAAGCAACAACGACGACGACGAGCTTGGAACTTCGTCTAACGACAAAGTTTTGTGAAAGTCACGGAAATAATAGGTACTGTGTGTACGGTATAGTAAGATGGACACAACTAGTGTCTTTAATAAGTTAGTAACCAGTGTGAGAATGCACGCGAGTGTTCATTGTTGAACGAGAAAAGAAATACTGTACTTGACAAAGAGGACTGGTAAAAAATGATAGAAAAAAAATTACGACTACGTGGAGTTACACTGTTCGTTCTTGGTAAGCATAAAGTAGTAAGAGAGAGGTAGGGGAAATGGGTGGGAGTAATGAACAGTAAGTTGGTTGGAGAAGGGCACAAGTAAAGTGCATCAATGATCGTCACTATACGCTCAGGAATTCTTTACTATATATGTGTGTTCACGAGTGAGTCGCGTGTATGTTATGCGCGATGTTATCGATCGAAAAGAAAGTTAGCGGGGCAGACATGCGAGAACTTGGAAAGAACGATGAAGTCATCGTGTATATTATCGCGTTTAGTTAAATTTAATACATAGACAACCGCTTTCCTGGTATTTCACGGTTGCTTACGTGACATCATTAGACGATTTTGTTTTCCTAACTCTTCTTGAAAATATTTTCCTAATTATATAACTTTAGAAAACATAATCCGATTATTAGTTTAACGATAAAGTTCCTCTAACGTACTAATTAATGTTAACAAACAACTCTTCGTTACTCCTAGTTACTAGTTTATAATATATATATTTTTGTATCGCTAAGTGAATTACCGATTTAAAAAGATTTCTTAATCGATCTTCTTAAAATCGTTCGTACATAAAAAAAAAAAAGAATTTTCTAAACTCACCTGTACTTCTTTAGTGAACTGATTGTTGCAGTAAATGTGAACGGCTGAGAATTCCCTGACGTGGTCGAATTCAAATTTAATCTCAAGCGGATGACCGGAACGAGTGTCATTCCTCCAACCGACCCAACCTTGACCACGATCGTAATCATAGTAGCTCATCTTAAAATTATCTGGGCCGATCTTGCCGTCGGTTAGTTGACCCAAACCTCGTAGGAGCTGACCGTCCCAGTAACCATCGTAAGTAGCATCAAAGAACTCCCAGTTGCTGCGTTTGTCTCCTTGTGGCATTGAATATGAAACGATACCATCGTTCCAAGGACAACCATACAACTCGACTCTCATGCAAACCGTACGACGATGATAACTGTAAGGAAGAAATCGTACTTTGCTCGCCCACATTGGCGGGTCTAACTCGTGTTTCGATTCTAGGTAGGTGTTCGTGTTGCCTTTTATCACCTGAAAAAAAAGAAAACAAAAGAAAATCCATCATTTCAATATACGTAATTTAAAATCCTTTCAAACTAAACAAATATCGCATTGTGTTTAATAATGAAAATATATTTAATTATTGTTAAATAACGTTGATTATCTCTTTCTAATACGATGACACTTTAAACACCATTAATTTTATCCAACATCCCTGTTTCGCTAATCACATTGGCTCGATACAAGGGACGATCGAGTTACTATGTTGTGACAGGGAATGAAGCAAAAAGATGAGACATATCTCTTATATAAAAGAGAGTACTCAGATCGTTTCGGCATTACAAAAGCATCTCTGAGAGTTATTTCGTTTATTTCATTTTAAGGATAACGCATCGTTAGAAGATACAAGACTCGTTCGTAATATTCTTTGAGTGTTCGCTACTCCGTCCCCCTCTCTCACCCCACTGTCTTTCTTGCAGAAAAGAAAAAAGAAGGAGATGGAGGATGAAGGGGGCTGGAGGGGGTTGGAAGGAGAAAGTCGGAGAAGATTTGTCCAGTTGGCGGGGAGTTGGTTCGAAACAAGGCTCGTTCTATTCGACCATTCGACCGCGAGGAGCAAGGAACGACGAAAAGATTCGCTAAGAGAAAGCGAAAGAGAAAGAAAAGGGTAAAAGAAAGATAAAGATAGCGCAACGGAAAGAGTGGGTTAGGGCGAGTAGGGAATATCGAGAATTTCTCGAAGAGCGAGAGACCCTTCGAAACAAAGGCTCTCTTATTTTCCACTTAGGGACAACTCTCGTCGACTAGGTTCCTCGGTTCTCGCGTAATACCTACAACCTTCTCACGTATGGTTAATTACGTGAGCGTACTGCACATTACGAGGAGAGTATACAATCACGAGAACTAGTGTCCTCTTCTCTCATTTTCTTTTTTTTCCTCTCTCTTTTTTCTTTCCACTTTTTTTTTGCTTCTTTTTTTTTTTTACTTTCTTTTCACCTACTCCTAGTACATATACATCTTTCTGTCTATTTCTTTCTCTCCCTTTCTCTCTCTGTTTATTCTCTTTCTCCCTTTAGTTCGTATCTTCTCATTCTTTTTTCCCTTTCTCTTTGGCAGTGTTAACGACCCTATTATCGTCGTTCGCGAGACATCGGTATTTCTACCATTTCCTCTCTCTCCTTTTAACATTGCCATTCGTATTCGTACACGTAACACATTTCGATAAGATTCCAATCGAGAGGCGTTTCGTACGTTTACTACAAAGCATTATCGTTATTCCTTTTACCAAGGGATCTTCGTCTTTTTTATTTTATTTCATTTGTCCACTTAATTCGTTTCTTAATTTAACACGATCATTATTAATAATTAGATAATAAAAGGAATGCAAAATCACGACATGCCGAAAGTTAATAGAAATGATGTTCTCTTAGTATTTCATTTAATGCGAACATGAGGTATAAAAAATAATTGAATAATTTATATTTCGAACATTTGAAAAAAGAAAACACAAGAAGGAAAGATTATTATTTTTATATTTTCTTTCCCTTCTTTTTAATATGAATATCCGCGTAAGGTGTTTTATGTTCACAAGACTGGTTCGTAGCAAATTCCGAACAAGTCGACGACAGGAGTCTGCCTACCGTCAGCTACCTGTATACTCATCGATGCGTCGTCTTAAACGCGAGGAAAACATTAACATAAAATGGGCGTTGGTTTTGAGCCACGCCTACCTCTTTGTCGCATCGGCACCACTCTTTTTCTTTGGAATTTGTCTACCCGAAAATCTCGTCGTAAATGTAGAGGAGAAAAATAGAAAAATAAAATGTTTCAGAAGAAAAAGAACAAGGAGAAGAGGAAGAAGAAGAAGAAGAAGAAGAAAAAGATGAAGATGAAGATGAAGAATGAGAAGAAGAAGAAGAAGAAGAAGAAGAAATGTCAAGAAATGGGAGGAGAGAAAGGAGAGGAAGAAATAATTTAAGAAGCGATATCAAGAGAAAAAGTCTTTTACTCCGAATCCGTTTGCGGCTTCCCTCTTTTCATCTCTTTCTTTCTTTCATTCTTTCTCTCTATACTTCACTGGCTCTAGCAGCAACTCCTTATAACGTGGGAGGGAAGATAAATATCGAGATTATTTATTTTTCCTGGCGAGCGCGCGAACGGCCCGACGACTCGTAAATGCCGTCGTATTTTTGCTCTCTCTCTTTCCATTTGCTAGGTCCACCCTCTCCAAATTCGCGGTTGATATTTACGAAATTATCTTCCGGGAGAGGAAAAAGAAAAGAAAGAGGATATGAGAGAGGGAATAAGAAGAAAAAAAAGAAATAAAGAAAAAAGAAATGAAAAGAAGAATGGTACAGGGACAAGTGAAACATCTCGATTGGTATCTTATCGAGATATCCCCCACAGGTACGAAGTAATGGCTCGAAAAGAGTAAAACAAACTAAAATGTATCTCTTCCTCCTAAACGAAGTAGTACTCTTCTTCTTTTACAGAATCTACTATCGATACTCGTCTTATTTCAAGTAACAATATAAAAATGAGAAGCTAAAAATGTTAAGAATCAATGTGTTAGAAAATGAAAATTACCGAATTAATTAAAATGAATAATTTGAAATTCTTACGTTAACTATATTTGTTGTAATTAATTTTACAAAAAAAAAAAAAAAAATTAACTCAAAATTATGTTCAATTTATTTTCATTTTAGTTCACGTTAATCGACATTACAGAAGTTTCAATAGAAAGATGTGTTAGTTTCTTTACACGTTGTACCGATCGATATATACGTGAGGGTTGACACGAATGCACTCAAGCTGAATGAAGGTATTTTTTTTTTTTTTTGTTACGACCGTATAAAAGTTCTTACTCGTGTCAGAAAATAATTACCGAATTGGTGTCTCGGACGCCTACGCGGGGGACCGCCAGGAATGAAGTCGTTTTCTGTATATTTTTACTTTGACTTTGGTTCGGATATAGGTATACATAAATGTGTGCAAGCAAAGAGATACCCTTGCCTCGTAGATTTTTCTTAATTTCCTTTAATAGTCCGTGAACACGACTCGCTGACAGCCGTACCGGTTATATTCTACGAAGGTCGAGCGTCCTCGAAAGAACGCTCGACGATCGTACGTACGATAAGGACGAAGAACGTCGTTCCGTAATTAAGCGACGAGAAACACGCACACACACTGAGAAGGATGTTTCTCTCAGCAGGAGAGGAGAACGTACCGCGGGGACGCGAATTTCTGCGGATTTATACTCGCACTTTCTCTCTAGTTTTCTCTTTTCTTTTTCTTTCTTTTTTTTCTTTTTCTCTTTCATTCCCTCTTTCGTATCAACCTCTTGGGTGGGCCCAACCTTCTCTTATCCTCTCGAACTGGTGTCCTTCGAGTAAAACCTTCAGAGTGGACTCTTCCAGGTCGTATCGACCCATGATAGAGAAGACTTTACCCTCTTTAACTTTCTACTAAAACATTTTACTTTTTATGAAAATAAATAATCCCTGCATCGTTATAGGAAAACGTATTTTCTGTTATTTTCGACAATATCTTTCCTTTGTATTCGAACGTAATCATCATACGCATTAGTGATAAAGTAAATTATATTATTATTCTGTAAAAGTGTAGACGGAAAACGTAATTGGATTCGCGCTAATTGTTATTCAATAGAATTCATTTGTACAAATAATCGGAAGTAATGTAATACGAATATCAGGTCTCAAAAAGTTAACGATTCGTATCAACGAACGTGTACAATAATTATTTCGAGGAATATCGTTTAACAATGAAATAAGTGTCTAGTTACATGTTGGATGAAAATTATTCGTTATTATTTAGGCTTTTAATTTGGATTCCGAATGATTTCAAAGAAGAAAAAAAAAAGAAGTCAAATATTGTGTTTAACTGAATCGACGATGAAAGACCTTCACCGAGTTTATGAATAAATAATAAAAAGAGAGAAAAACAGACAAAAAAAAGGCAAAGAGAAAAGTAAAAAAA